GAGCCGCAGTTCCATCCTGCACCCTGCCTCAGCTGGGCACCCCTGCCCCTGTCCCTTCCCTCACTGCGGGGTGGGATTGATCTGCCCCCCCATACCCCTTCCCTCCCCCCTCCCCTTCCACCACAACAGACTTACCATCTGAAGGGAGCACTCCACTCTGTATCGGAAATTGGATTGGTATCAGCCAATACGCCTCCTTAAAAATCAGATATCAGTATCAGCCCCAAAAATCTCTTATCAGTGCACCCCTAGTTATAGACATTTGTTATGAAAAAGTAGCAGAGTATTTTGCCACCTTTTGTTGCACCAATGATTTTTCTTTCACGTGGCGCAATCAAGGATATTGACGTCTGTTTGCTCAGTATCTGTCCTGTTATTATAAATTTGTATTGTTTATGGTTTTATGGCCCAAACAAGATGTCCGATGACATCTGTTTCCACCTTGACATTTTAAGCAGCCTAAGAAATGTAGCTCTGCATCCCTAACAGTATAAAGATTATATTGTCAGTCATTGTAGAACAAAGAGAAATCCAAGGATATGACCCCAGGTGAAGCTCAAGTAGAAGTGTATTTATTTATTTATTTATAAATTATAGATCTGCTCTTGAATTTAACTATTGTATTTACTCAAATACAAGATGAGATTTTTTTTTTTTTTTATAATTGCATACAAGGAAAACACATTAAATATATTGTCCGTCATTAAACTGCTGCCAAAAAAGCAGCATGTGCTCAGTAATATAAACCAACTGTGAAGTTGATTAAATGCAACCAACACTGAACATGACTGTAGAACATGTGTCCTATAGGTTAGTGCAGCCATCTGAATAAAATATACGCTAGTGTACACAGTCCTTCTCAGTGCCGACTCTTTTTTCAGGTCATGGTGAGCCACTGCCAAGTGACTCGTGGTGAGTCAAGACACTGAATACATTTCAGTTTGCTCTTCACTTCCTCAGCTGAGCTGCACCTTTCTTTCCCATCCAATGATTCCTGTTTCTTCACCAGCCTTAAGTGGCTGGGAAATTTCACCAAACAGGGTCCCAAATGGTTTACCCAGAATCCCTGTATCGCCCCCTCTTTCTGTCATATTTGATTAGTGTAGCCCCACCCTCCATGAGGTCGAGCTGGACCAGGTGGCCCTGTGCCTGATCTGAATATAATTTTTTTGCAGGGGGATCCTAGGACTCATGACGAACACCCAGTTCCAGGAATGAGTGTTGGGGGGGGTGGTATCTGGAATGTACGCGCATACTGAGCAGTGCTCAGCTGTGAGGTCACCATGGCTTTAAAAGCTTTTGACTCAGTTGGAGCCCAGTCCAATGAAATATATAGTAAATCATGAGCCTTTTAGCTTTGGACTAATATCTTGTACGTTTTGTAGTATGTATAGGAAGGTACAAAAATGCCACTTAAAAGTGTGAGTTTAAGGGTTTTTGAACCCGAAAGCTTGCTTAATAACTATTCTCCAACCATTTGGGTTGGTTTAATAAAAGATATCAAATTCACCCAAGGAACCTTGTCTGCTTATGTCCTTAGACCAACACGGCTACCAACCTAAACCCCTAGAGTACCTTGTAGCAGTTTCCAAAAAAGGCAAAATACCTCAGTTCTGTATGAACTAAATCTATGGGTACCTGTTGTAATTTTCCTATATGCAATATTTCTCCTCTTTTCAGGGAGAGCAGGGTCAAATGGTAAGCTGGGGAAAGGGCAGAGGAGCTACCTGACATCCTAAATTTGTTTTTCCAGGTGTAGCAGGGGGGCGGGGACAAAGTTAAGACAAATCTCCAACAACTAGATTCTATACCTTGAAAATTATAATTTATACAATTGCCATATATATATAATATTTTTTTTTTCTAATTACTGGGGAGGTCATCTTATATTCAGGGTCATCTGTGGGTTTTTTTATAATTAATACAGTCTACCAACTTTAACTTGAATGGATTCTTTATTTAAAATAGATATGTCAAAAGAACATGCATTCTGTACAACCTGTACAACAGGTTGATATCCTGGGGCTTTTAATGAGTTTTCAAAATCCTATCTGTTAAAAATATAGTTAAAGAAATAACCATCGTATGCACAAGGTGTGGGTGATGATGATGATGTTAATAGCTTCGCCCCAACAAAGAATTCTTCTTTTCTGCTTTTCCCATGAACATGAGAAATGTTTTCTTTTAAATGTAAAATTTGCTTCCAGATGGACAGTATAATGCAATAAAATATAATTTTTTCTTCCGCTAATAAACATTTTATATGGAAACAGATGGAGGTTTCATTGAAAATATAAAGGAAATCAGTATAGGAATTAAAACTTACAAACATCTGCTTCTTGCTTAAATGAATGCTGAGCATTAATGAAGAAGAATGCCTTGCATTCAAAATCTTGTCTATCTTTATCCCAACCATGCAGTTGTCCAATAAAATATATCGCCCTAAAAAACTTGCCTCTTGCATTAATTAATTTCATTTCCAAAGATACCTCCATAAAATCCTCAGTTTGTGTCCAAATATGCCATTATAAAATTTTCAGCGCAAAGCCAGTGGAGATAAAGGTGTTCTGAACTTTCTGTATTTTGTAAGTTACCAGTGTAATGGTGTATACATCAGGAGTGCTCAACCCCCAGGCCATGGGTCGGTTCCAACCTGTGACATTGTGTCATCCAGCTTGCGGAGCTCCCCGCAGGTCTGGAAATTTGGCTGCAGGAGAATGGTAGCACTACTTCCCTCCTACCAAATTTCTGGATGCATGGGGAGCCCCAGGTCCTGTGTGTTGGATGGGGCACCTGATCCTAGCAAGCAGGGTCAAGTGAGGGTTGCGCCAAGCTGCAGGGCCCAATCAGTGTGCCTGGGCCCTGAGACCCAATCCTGGCATTTAGGGGGCAGGAGGGATGGCTTTGGGACCCTACTGCCCCATTCCAACTCATGGGAAAGGAGGGGACAGGGCCCAGCCTCGTGGTCACATCTGGCCCGTGGACTGGCCCCATGCCATTCATCTAGGCCATGGACCCAAAAGGCTGGGCACTGCTGGTATACAATGTTGTTAACAAGCATTTAATAAACCTGACTTTAACAGAAAAGCCTGTGCTCTAATCCTTTTATAACATTACTGTAGATTGGAAATACAGGTCCCCCCCCCAGTGTTAAATGGAGAAAAAAATACCTTGTCTTGGAATCAAGTAAATATGATAAATTACAAGGACCATACTTGTAGGCTAGCTAAAACTACTGGCTGGACTATCAGATGAGGGGTTGCCTCATTGCATTGTAGTGATCTGCTATTTGGCACTAATAGAGCAGCTTGTCACCAACGTAGATTGTTGTAAGGAAATCAGAAGAGACAGTGGACTTGTTTTTCCTGTGTTGGTGGCTGTGATACCTTCCTACACCCTGTCCGCCCAAGTCTGTCAGTGCCCCAAGAGCCAGAGAATTGCCCATGGGGCTGCTCCAAGCTCATCCCCTGCACCCGCTCAGCTGGCTGGTGAACTTCTGGCTCTGAAGCACATCAGCCACCTTGGGTGGGCGGAGCATCCGATGCCCCATGCTTTCCAAGTTCTGCTGTTGCCAGGATATCCATGTTCTGTTTGGGCTATTTGAAAGGCCCTCAGCAGTTAATGGAAGAGCTCACACTGACTAGTATTCTTTGGATCAGCCTTTGAATTTGTTGTTGCTACTTTGTGCTGATGAATTTTATGTTCGAGTTGCTGTCTTGTAATTGGAAGTTGGTTGGTCAGTCCCTTTCTGTTTACATTCACTTTAAGTGAGGAATCTTGTCCATGTGCCTGCACACATGCTGGCTTCTTCTGGGCCGGACACAGGCATGGGTGAACTGGGTGGCTGCCCAGACAGAAAGGGGGCCTGAAAATGGTAATTTTTTTATTATTATTATCATTACCTCTGGCAAAAGGGGGTGTGGGGGGGGTGATACTAAAAGTTTGCCTGGAGCCGCCAGGAGTCTAGGTACAGCGCTGGCTGGCTTTTACTGAAGCTTGTCGCATTCTATTTCAAGATTTTGTTTTTAAACAAGACTTTGGAAAAACCTGCAACCTGAATGCAAAGTGTAAGCATCCCTCTATTATTAATAAATTAGAAGGCTACTGTTTCATAATAATACCATAATGTATAAAGAAAACTGGTTCAGAGTGATGTATTTCTGTTCAGACCAGCAGAATGACATGGAGTTACAAGAGCACTGGGTTCTGATCTCAGGAGCATCTTTTCACCAGAACTGTAATATAACTTGGGCCCCCCTTCTGGATGCTGTTTATAATAATCCATCTGCCAGAGAAACTAAACTGCATAGAGTAATCTTTTCAGCTGTTAGAAAAATTCTGGTAATAGTTTTTCTTGGATTCATGAGCCATAGATAGGACCTTAGTAACATTTGCTATCAGAAACATTCTGGGAAACATGTGTTGACTAAAATAATTAAGTGACTAGACATAAACAGTTAAAGAGTCTTGTTTATTTCTGTCAGTAATAGTAAAGATATAAATGCCAATTCATTGAAGACTTACAGCTTTCATCATCCTGTTAAATGGAAGGGTGATCACCTTGTATTAAAAATAATTACATTCCGTCTCAATGTAGCTGCATTGCATTTAATGTCTCTGCATATGTATCCTCCCTGGTAAAAGGCTTTTTTTATATTAAAAAAAGGCTGTTTGAGAGGTGGGGGAATGACAACAGTTGTTCTGCTTAGGGAGAACTCTGACAGCATCAGCTATCAATCTAATTTGTTCCCTAAAAAGGTATTTCTGCACTGAGCCTATGAAAATCTGTTTACTTGTATATATTATTCCTGAATATATAGTCCTATATTAAGTCAGTTCTGCTGAAGTTGTTTTTTCACTGTGGCTAACAGATACTATACTTGAGAATTCTAGCTGATGAGGGCTGAGTTTATAATGCATTCATCTGTAGTAAGAGTGATGAAGAATATAGAGAGCTAAGTCCTGCAGACTCCAAGAAGCCCACATTTAAGTTTCCATTGTTTTGCAGAAAGATAACCAAGTCTGTTTATAGGAATTTAAATATTTTTTTTAATTGTTTAAAATAAATAGTTGTCCATGCTTATGTCTGTATTTGCTGTTCATTAATCTTTAACATCTGTGATGTCATTTTTAACATGTCACTGCTGCTGAAATGTGCATGTGTCCTTCCTGTGTTGAAAGAATTAGTTTTGTTAGGTACCTCTAATGGAGTTTTGATGCAGTAAAGCAGAGGTGCTCAACCTCTGGCCCGCAGGCCAAATGCAGCTTGTGAAGCCATAGGTATCCAGCTCACGGGACTCCCCACAGATCAGGATGTTTGGCAACAGGGGAGTGGTGGCAATAAATACGACCACCTTCCCCCGCTGCCAAACCCTGAGCCTTGCGTAACGGGTTGAGACCAGGTCACACCCCCTTCCTCTGTGGCTAGATGGGGCTTGGCCTTGCTGTTCCCCTGGGCTGGATGGGGCTTGGCCATGTCCCCTTCACCCCCTTCCTCCCCTTGGAGCTGGGCCAAACCCTCTTTCCCCCGTGTGGCTGGGCCACGTCCCATCCCCACCCCCAAGTTGGAGCTGGGATGCCCCCTACCCCCTCCACACAGCCAGATGGAGCTTGCTGGACCTGGACCATCAGCTGGATATGGCCCACAGACAGACACTGCTCATCTGGCTTGCCAGCCAAAAGGTTGAGCACCACTACAGTAGAACATAGAACTGAAGAGCAAGTTATCAGTATATTTAGAGAAGAAATCAAGCAAGGAGAGAATGTGTTTATTGGAGGTGAATGCAATAAAAATGGTCTGCAACCCAACCATCATGCCTTGAGCTTGTAATAACAGAGTAAGGCTGGACTGGGTCAGTATATTGAAGGGGTCACCTGGTTGTTGCAGAAAATGGTGTTTGCACCTCAGTAAATAATATTCTTCTCATGGTGTCAGAATTGAACTATGTCTCAACTTTATATTAGTAGGTGCTATTGGTAGAAGTGTGATCCCTTCAGCTGAAATTCAACACTAGTTCCCCCTGCTCTTTTGTTTGACACTTCCTTTTGCTAGTCTCAAGCTTTTGGAATTGTGCTAGGATGCCATTACGTCCAGCTGACCTGTAGTCAGTTTTTCCCTGCAGTTTCAGTGGATCACAATGGTTTTTCTTCCCTTGTGACTTCTGCCTGCTTTGAGGTGTGCAGTTAGATTGTTTTCTATGTTGTCCCAGATACAGCCGTATTTCAGGGCTAGGAGGACTGGACCCTGTGTGTCTTACATGTTTCTTTCCATTGTCTCATGATGGAGTCACGTTGCTTGATTTGCTTTGATATTCTCTAATGAAAGGTTCTGGACATACAAGAGCTGTTTATATGAGTACTGATGAGGGGATATATATGCTTTTTACTATTGTGTAAATGTTAAAATATACTCGGATAAAGGAAGAAAAGGAGCTGAAGGAAAAGTCCATTCCAGTGTGAGATGCTTGAGCATCCAATAAGGCTTGTAGCCTGATATGAAAACATTGCATAACATTTGAATCCTGATTAAAGAAAGGAGTACTATGAAATAACCATTAGTAAATGTTGGTGGGGAGAAAGCATTACAGCACATGCAGGATTTCCAATATTATGCTAGATGGTATTCAGATAATAAAAAGTTGGGAGAAAAGATTGAAAAGTGATTACAATAACTTCATTGTTGCAGTGTTTGCTGTTGTTTTGAACTCTGTCGTGGACCACCTAAGCTGAGAGAAGTCTCTTGTCTCCTATTTGTTTTCTTTTCCAGCGATATTGAGATTTCCCGAGCACAGAGTCCAAAAGCTGTTGATGTGCTTGCCAAAGAGATAGGATTGCTTGCAGATGAAATTGAAATCTATGGCCAAACCAAAGCCAAAGTACGTTTGTCCCTGCTGGAGAGGTTAAAGGATCAACCAGATGGAAAATACATCCTAGTTGCTGGGTAAGAAGATACACTAAACTTGCCTTCCCTCTCTTAACATGAGCATGCAACTTGTATGTTCTCACTTCTTCACTTATTGGATAAACTGCCCAATTGCAAGTTTGCCATACTTGGTACATCACATATTTCCTCTATTCTGCAAATATTTGCATGTGGTTTTTCCTAATTTAAAAAAGAAAGAAAGAAAAAAGAACAAAATACAACCTTTCTTCAAATCTGTGAATAAGAAGCTGTGTACATGTTTATAGTAGGTAGATTAAGTTAAGCATCTTAAATACCTTCTATAGCTTGGTGATATTTTTTCCTGTCTCATCACCTTGTAAAAAGTGCAGTTATTTTGTACTGTGGCTGCTTATAAACATACTTTAATAGATGCAGCATGGTAATCTATTGGTATGAATTATAAATGCTTCTTTTTATTGAATAGCAAATTGCATAGTTAAATAAAAAATATTATTTTTCCTTAGCAGTGTAGACATGTCTCCAGGCAGGCTTACCCTACTCTCTGCTTTCATATTTATTTGAAAATACTTTGTTCCATCTACCTCTGTTTTGAATCCTTTTCTCACTCGCTGGGAAACAAAATTATTTTATTGCAAACATCATTTTTAAAATGGAAAGTTTTTCACTCGATGAGCTGATAATATGAAGATTCCCATGAATAGTTACATTTCAGCATGTTTTTGGAGTAGTTTCTTTTGGTGCTTCTCTGCTTTATAAATGAAGCTGGTAGAAGTGCACTCCTTTTTTCTCTTATATGAAGTGATAAGTTGCAGGTATAGTTTACCTAAACTTCTCCATTGGAAATTTCATCATTTTTTTGGCAACAAGGTACAGGGTACAAAAGACCTGCATTTTTGAGAAGTCGGGGGGAGGATGATGATATGGGTTTTTTTCCCCCATTGCCAAATATTAATCCATGTCTAATGACCTTCAGTGTGTTTTCTAAGCACTCACAAATACATTTTGTTTTAGCATGCTCTTGTTTGGCAAGTCCTTGTATCGGTTTAGTAAGCTTTCATTATAACATCCAGAAAGTGGGCCCTACAGTTTCCTAAGCTGCCATCGGTCAAAGCCGTGACATGGAATTGCAACAAGCAGAAACATTCTTTGCAGAAGTTTTGAAAGGTTATTAAGAGAAAATAATTAAGGCTTGTAGTTTGAAAATTAAGACTACTATGTATTTGTTGGTGGGCCTGTTTGGATTTTAATTATACAGGAGTGAAAAACAAAGTTGCTTTCAGCCTTTGAATGTTTTTGATGAAGAAAATGATCCTGCTCTTTCTGGTTCTAAGGTACTGCTGTTGCTGCAAGATTTAGACACTGGGAGGAAGCAAAGCTGGCTCCAGAGCCCCACCAGAGTAATGCCTTGCACAGAGGATAGATCACTCTAAATATATATACCCTGTTCATATTCTTTTCTTCTAAACCAGCCACTCCTGCCATTGTGAGAGACTGGATACTGGGCTAAATGGTTGGACCCCAGTATGACGTTTTTTATGGTCTTACATTGTGTTCTTAACTATAATGATTTCTGTATTTCTACATATACATTTTATTCCAATCTATTGGAAGAATTAATTGTATATGATGTCAGTGTTACAGAAACAAAGCTAATCTTTATATATAGTCTGTCCTGTAAGCTACTGGATAGTATTATTCATTTCTTTGATATGATTGTGAACTTTTGTGCCCCTCTCCCCATATCAATAGTTTAATTGTTTCACTGCCTGTGGCAATTTGTAACATTTTGGACAAATCCAAATGCTCCTTTTGTTTGTCATCCAGCATAGAAAACTTCAAGTCAACACACTTAAGATGTGGACAGAATTTGCAGCACTACATGTGTCTCAGCATTTGGTAGCCCTACAAAATGGAGTGTTATGAGGGGTATACTTGGCTGGAGCACAACAAAGTTGCCCACTGGGCAGGTGTCAGCTTCCCTTGTTAGGCTGTAACCTGTCAAAGTGTGCTGCTGCTCCAGTGACTGCTTCCACTGCTTGACAGATCACTGCCTTGCTGCTTCTGTTCCTTCTGTGCCACTCCTGTGCTGTAATATCAGTTGACATTTGTGTCATCTCCCGTGCCACTGGTTGTGGCAGCAGTGCTCCTGCCATGATGGTAAGTAGAGCTGCTGCCTCCCCCAAGACTGGAGCAGTACCAGGCTCTGTGGCAGCACACTCTGGCCCTTAGAGTGCAGTCCTCTGTTTTGAAAGGGTTGCAGCTTTGCTCCCAGTGAGTTATCAAGGAGCCATCTGCTTCCTCCATACCTACCCTTTTCCCCGTCGTGGTGGTGGTAGGAGAAGAGAGAGAGGAACACTAGGATGTTAGGGAGTCAAGAGGCCTCTCTGTATTTTTCCATGTAACTGGACATGCCATATATGTGGCACTACAAAGCACAGTGCTACAGAGAAGTTCCTGCTTCTTCAAATGGGAATATTTTTATAGTCCTGCAGGGGATGTACACATCTGTCACCTTGACTTTTGTAGTGCTGAAGAGGCCTCTGTAGTGTGACAAATGCAATGTCTTTTCACAGTCTTAAATATCATAGTGGTGGGCGTGATATAAAACCTTCCCCTTGAGTTTCCATCAGTATGTTTTTAAGTGTCTCAAAATCATGTGGATTTCATTGCTTCCTTGTCTACTCTCTAGTTAGTTTCACTGGGAGGAGGTAAAGCATGAGGGAATGTCAGAATCTGGAAACCTAATAACATATCTTGCTATTAAAAATATAGCTTTCTAGATTTACCAGCAATAATATTTTTAAAGGTTTTTTCCTCCCTAACTTAAGTAGATGTTCTGTGAGATGAACTAGGTTGTCAAATGTAATTTCTATCAAAGTATATTTTGACTAAGGTTTAGTAAGAAAAAGATATGTGGTAATGAAAAGTATAGGTACCTTGTGATGTGATGCATGATTGTGTTCTCTGCTACAGGGCCTGTAGGCTGTTTAAAAGAAAGAGAGGGGGAGGGGAGGGAGGAGAGTAGGCAGACATTACAAAAAACCACCTTTTTACTAATGCATTTCATTTAATAGCCTGAAGTTAAACCCCTAGTGAAACAGCTTACCACTCACTACACTATTCTGTTTTAGAACTGGTTGAGTTGTATCATGTTATAGCCTATACTAACAAGGCATAGACCACATGTAAATCCTATTCTAGTTACTGAAGAGTGAGAATCAGCTACAGATTCCAAGGCCCCTAATAGGCATTATTTCCAGGTAATATTGATCAACAGAAATTGTTGTGCTATGTGACTTGGTTCATATTCACAACATTTCTTTAATGTAAAGCAGCAGCAGGTCATGCTTTTTCAGATCCAGAGGTCACAGTTCAGTCTTGTTTATGTCCCTTCCTGGGCACTGTCAGACTGTATAAGACCACTGATGTAAGCTAAAGCAAACCAGTGTTTGGTTGTATAAAGAAATTATCTAAAAATCGTGTTTTGCAAGTAGTTAGGATGGTTGTGACCATTCAGGTGAAGTTAAGTCATTTATCAGAATCCTTCCAAATGTAAACTTGCACGACCATGCATGGGTCAGATTCGTACAAGTAACATTAGAATCACTAGTGCCAAGTAAATAATACTGAGAAGGCTTAGAAAGATAATGTAGCATCATTTTGCAGCATATAGAGCACAGTGTTTTTGCTGAGCTCATAACAATAATCCTAAGTGTGAGAAGTTTACAGCTGGTGTAGTGTATCATCTTAGTGTTTGTATGTTTATTTTTTCTTTCTGTCAGACTTCATGTGGTTTTCCCACAGAAATATTTCCACTATAAGCTGAATGTAGTGTATAACAAACACTGCACATAGTTTTCCTTTGTCTCTATGTTCATATCAAAAGGTTGAAAAAAAAAGGTTGAAAATTTATTTTGTCAAGAAATTGGTGACCCTATGGTAGAAAGCAAAATAAGGAATTACAAGTAGGGAACCAGTGGAAGCAGAGGGAGGGAAATAATTATAGAGGCTGTTTCTGCTTATACTGAAAATCAGTTAAAAGAAAATTCAGGGGAAGTAAATGTGTGCATGAGTCTTTTAAACTTGAGGAAAATTGAGTGTTTAAAATTAATTTATCCCAGTTTTGCTTAAAATCAAAACACAGGATTACGTTCTAAATGTGACCTTTCTAAAAATATGCAACAAACCTAACGTTACCCATTGGCAGCCATAATGCTCTCATTTTTTCAAGTTAGTAAAGTAAGATGTAATTGTGGAGGATGCAATAGCATAAGTGGCGCCAGCAATGATAAAGAAGAAATTCAATCAAATGTATTGATGAATGATGTTAAATATAAAAAGACCCAAATTGAAGTAGATGGAAAGCAGAAAGAATTTATATAAAGCCTTTTAATTGAATATATTTTGAGAAGAATGCAAATAATTTACTTTAACTTCCACCTGCTAGCTCCTTTTTGATAATGAAATTCTGCAAGTCTCGTGATCCATTTAAACTACAAGGTGAACCTGGAGAATTTCAAGGTCTCTTCTACTTGGAATCTTCCACCCCCTTCCAGCCAGGAGAAATGTATCAAAGCTGCCATCCTGCAAAAGCAATCAAATAGTTATCATTCCATGAAAAAAACCCTGCTCTTGTATCCCATGCAGTCCCATCCAAGCTGTGGGGGAAAATCTAAACAAGCTGCTCCATTTTGCATATTACAAAAATCATTACCTTTAGCAGCCTAACTCATATATAACATGATATACAGCACCTGACAAAGCTGGCCATAGCCTATGAATGCTCATGCTTCTCTGAGAAAGTTGGTCTATCAAGTGCCATACTGCTCTGCCTTCTACTTGACTAACACTTCTCTCTTATACCAGTTGAGATGATTCTTTACTGGAACTTTCTCTACTTAAGGTTTTTTTTTCTTCCCCCTAGCCAAATGATGTATTACTTTGGTTAAAACTGTACCCTTTCTTTTCCTCCAAAAGAACCATAAAAATTGCTCTTGTTATAAGATCTTAAGAAAGCAAGGCTGGAAGGAATCTCA